TCCGGTTGAGTTTTGCTTGCAGGTTACACTCAACGGTTGTCTCGGTTACCGTGCTCGGACCGACCTCGGCACTGTTTCAAAAGGGTAGTGTAAATGGGGCTATAGACGCTACACCAGCAACGGGCAGCCCGATCCTTGCACTAGATTAAACATCCGTATCCTTTGATTTATTTATACAAGCTCATGAAACCATGTCACCAAAAAGAGCAATAAATGTTAAATAAATGTATCCATGATAGGAAAATATTAAATTACTACCAGCCAAGAATTACATTCAGATATTAAGATTTAAATGAAATATCTGTAAACTGTATCAGAGCTTCTTTGGTTAATAACAGTGAAAAGTATTAAATATGGCGGCACAATTTCGGGACAAAGTTTAATGTCCCAAACCTTTTGTTTTCATCTAATCCACAAACAAAATACATTCAACGCATTCCAACAAAATGCATCCAACAAGGTCTTTTTGATTACATATTGCAACTAGCATAGTAGTGACGGTTGAATCATGTTTTTTTAGTCTGTACTTATTTTTTTTTGCTTTTCTATTGTTTGCTCCAACCCACTGTGGTTACGTCCCAGCAACAGGTTCCTGGTTGCATCAATTTCACCATCAGCACTGGACTCTTCAATCCACACCAACCATAAAATGAGCTCTTTATTTCGTTTTATTTTGGACCAAATGAAGAGAGCCCAGCTGCCTCCTCCCATCTCCATCTGGTTTGGCAGCTGCATGGTCTTTGGAAGGAAATCACCACGGATGGCTGTGAGTACAGCAAAGATCATCAGGACCCCTTTTGGAACACAAGCACTGTCTCAGCAGAACCTGGAAGATCATCAATGACTCCACATACACCCCCACTATGGACTCTTTCCCTGCTCCATTCATTGAAGAGGAAGTTAGAGCTAGAACTGCGAGGTTTCAGAAATAGTTTCATCCACTTCGCCATAAGACTGCTAAAGTTCCACTGAGGAGAAGGGAGCACTTCTTAAAATAGCCTCAAATAAAAAAGGCTATTTTAAAGATATTTTTCTGTACAAACTTACATTATGTCTCTTTAACATAAATCTTTTGTATTTATTCTGAAGGTGCGGCAGCTTTTAATTTCCTTTATTGGTCGCCTACGATCGGCTACATGTAGCTGAAACCCTGCTTTATGTTTATATTGCACTCAGATGGCGGCCATTCCTTGTCTTGAAACTTCAATTTCATGTACACCAGTTGGATGATTTGTAGACAATAAGATAAATATTCTTATCTATTCTACTCCTGCAATCAAAAGTTGTCACATATATATTGCCTCATTAAAACCAAGTCAAACTATCAGGAAAATCGATAAGGGGGTAATTCAGATATAACGACACATTGATTGTCAAACATACATTTAAAAGCAATGAAAAACTGAAGGAGGGAAGACTAGAAAAATTATTTAAATAGGCAACACTGAGAACCAAGAGTCTTTATACTCATTATCTAACCATAATGATATTTTATGAGACTCTGGGGGGAAAAATACACTTCTAATACACAGAGATAAATTAAAAACACTAGCATCCTTAGAGGAAACCTCAAAATTGTAAAAACAAGACGACACCTGTCTATTAGATACATGCATGTTGACTTCATCCAACTTTGTATAAAGCAATGCAATAAACATATCTGAACGTTTAAGTCTTTTTTTTCATAAACCCCAATAAATCATCTCATACCTCTATGAATCAGCCAATCACTTCCCTTAGCTGGACTGCAGTTTCAATTAGCAGCAACTTCTCAGAAGGTAGGATGGATAAAACAGACCAGGCAGGAAAACATATGAAATGTCATCTGTGTGACTACAAACACTTGGAGCAATTAAAGAGCAGCACAAATGAAAATTGTGCAGGAGAGGTCGTTTCATTGTCTGTCTGGGGACCAGGTTTATCTTCTGGATATGGCTGCCATGATGGACTCATGCTCCATTAAATTCAAGCAATATGAAATGATCTCTTGCGTGTCCCCTGCCTCTCTGAAGATTTCATATTGCACGATTGTCCCTGGAGGAATCAGATCCCCAACAGGCTGCTCGGACCAATCGCAGCGAGGAGACGCTCTCTCACAAATGGATATGAAGGCAATACGATGAACCCAAGCTGCAGCTGAGCACAGTCTGAAACACTCAGGGGCCCATAATTAGAGAAAAAAGCCTCCTCAAAGCTTCTGTGGCATTTATATGACAGCTACCGAGAGTAAAGGCTAAAATGCTCCCTTTGGGTCCCAGATTGCCCCTGCAGTTCTCATAGCAACTATAAAACTGGGCGAAAGCCGGTTCAGTGTCCAATAAACTAGAGTAATCTTTAGAAAAAGTCTGAATCTGATTATGGAGGTGAAAGTTAGATATACCTTGTTTGAACAAAACTGGCGTTTAGATGATTTTAACAACACCGTTTAACACCATAAGGGACGGCGACTGGAGCGCACAGGGAATTCTGAAACAGTTTGGATAATCATCTCTGCCGAGTTCAGCTTCTCTGTCACTCTGCTGTCAAGATAAGGGAAAAAGCAACAGACTCCCTGGGTTTTATATTTCTGTCAGCTTGGAAAGCAATGATGTGGAGGACTACAGGGACCGGGCCAACTAAAGCCAGAAGCCACAAAAACCAGAGAGCTGTCTGCTTTTCCTTCCACTCTGTCATCCAGGGGACTAATCAGTCATAAGCCAGACGTGCTGCTGTAGTGCAGAAGAACTAAACCCAAGGCTCAAGACTCCCTGCTGATGCTAGAGTCCCAGAATGATAACAGAGCTTTGCTCCAAACGTTGCTGTACTCATGTTGTACCTATAATCTTATTTAGCAAACCTGGCTTTACCTCATGCCCTGAAGTCTTACCCTAGGATCCTTTCTGCTTCACAGCCCATCAGAAGCATTTCAGACCATTTCCTCTTCCTCATTCATTCTACTCTGAATCTTCCCCATTCAGCAAAAAAACTGCCATAGTTTTACTTTTATGTGCTTATTTTATAGACTTTTCCTTCCTATGTTTATACCTGGGAGGTAAAGGTAGATGTCTGATGGAAAATACCTGGAACTGTCATTTCCATTGGAAACGAAGACAATCAACATAAAAAATAAATTTTTGGGGTATTCATTTTCACTCAAATTATATAATTTGTTGTGAATCGGAGCCAATTTGAGTAAAAGTGCTTTAACCTGGATGGATGCTGCTGCTCATAATATAATGTTTAACAGCTGATCTTTAGCTAGTTTGACCACCTTTGTTAACACAATGCCCAGTAGGGGTGGAACGGTTCACAAAATCCACTGTTTGGTTCGATTCACGGTTTCATGGTCACGGTTTTCGGTTCGGTATATGTTTATTGTTACACTGAAAAATTAAAAAATTAATAAAAATTAATGAAAAAATAACATTTTATGAAATTAATGAAAAAAATAATAATAATAATGAATTGTAATTATTTTTAATGATCCGCGGAAACCCTGGATCATTTCCGCATGTTTTGCTGCTTTGAATTTAATCATCTCGCGCATGCCCTCTACCATCTCCAAGGAACTCAGAGCGGAGCGGACGGGAGCCACAGTGGAGGCTGTAGGCTTTGCTTTGTGCAGGCGGTCTGGAGCGCAGCGGGGCGCTGACGGAGTTTGTGGGATTTCGGGGTTAGCATGACATGTTGGTCATGTTGCTGTTAGCATAAACAACTTTCTTTCCGCCGTCATCGTAGGTCACTCTAAATGCAAAGTGGTCCCATACAGCAGACCTATAAAGTGCTGCTGGCGCGTCTTCCAACTCCTGTTCTTTCCCACTCGCCATACCCACACAATTTTCGACAACGACTGATTTTTTTCTGCTACACCCGGCTACGCTGCTTCGCTTCTTCTTCTTGTTTACTACTGGTGGTTGGCTTTGGTCGCAGTACCGCCACCTTCTGCTCTGGAGTGTAATCGCTTCGCCTATGAGAAAAAGGAGCAGCGCATGAACCATACGCAACACACGCGAACCGAACCGAGACAGTCAAACCGAACGGTTCGGACGGTTTTCATAAACCGTTCCATCCCTAATGCCCAGATAAAAAGCCAGCAGCAATAACAGAAGAGAAAACTGTACAGTAGATGTCTTTCAATCTGGACAGAGTTTAAAGATCATTTTAAAATAACAATAGAATGAAAAAACATGTTGAGACACACCCCTATTATCAATGTCGGCTGCATGTTTGACTGTCTTTGTCAAAATACAGCGTTGCTTTTACCGATTTGCAAGATTTTTATCTGAATAACCCAAAAGACAAAGAGAAAAAGGAACACACGCCTCATATCTACTATTAAGCATGGTGTTGGAGGGTTGATGATGGGGGCTGTTTTATGACCACATTGACCATTTTATAAGAGTTAAAGATTAAAAAAAAGACAGAAATTACTTTATGACAGCCATTAAATATTTTTCTTCCTTAACGATCTGAGATGAATGGAGCAATAGAAAAAGTCTCTGCGCAATATGATCAGACAATCTGGTGAAACATGCGGTCAGCTTGGTTTCTAAACCACAGCTTGTCCGTTTGGTCATAAACTTAGAGCAAACCTGCACTGAAAAAAAAACCCAAACAAACTGTAGGTGTCCTGATGGATGAATATTGATTTTCAAAGTTTGTGCTTTATTTTTATCATCACTGTATACCACGGCTACCAGCTCTAAGTATTATGAAGTTAACTTTACTAAAACAATATTAATACACAAACAGGAACAGCAATTTAAGTAACAGAAACTTATAATGTGTCTGAAGGGAAAAAAAGATATTTGAAAAACAATCTTGTTTCCAAGAGACTGACAGGTTTCTGTTTGCTGCGATGCATCATTATTGTTGAGCATGAGCGATAATTTATGCTGTAAACGTTCAATGTCTCTATCTGTTCATTTAAATGACTGACAGCCAAGAAAGGACACTAATGCCTGTTGGTGAATGCTAAGATTATTTCAAATAGACACACAGCTGTCATACCAGCATGTTTTTCTTTTCTAACTTTTCTAACAACAAAAAATAAAAATAAAGGGGGTGTTAACGTGTATGGGAACCCTAATGACCGTCGGGAAATATGCGGTCACACAGACGACAGAGATGAGCTTGTTATAAGCTTCATAGTCTCTCTGTGCATGCTCCTTGGCTCTTACCTTGCGCCCATCACTCGCGTGACAGTTGACGTTGAGCGCCGTAAGCAGGGCCATTAGCTTCTCCTCGTTTCCACTCCTGAAAATATTAAAGAACCAAGAACACATTACATACAGAAATAAAAAAAAACGCAGAAATTTAGCAAAAGAAACAACAAAAGACTACATGTTTGTGTAATTTGCCACAAACATGATTGCCTCTTGATGAAATCACAATGATTAACGTCTTGGAGCAAAGAGAGAAAGGTATCTGAGAGAGGAAAAGACAGACGTGTTAAAAATAAAGGAAAGGCAGAATGATTGGGGTTTGGACCAAAGTAAAAAGTCACTTTATCCGTTTTATTGCTGCGGTTTGGTTGGAGCAAAGCTGATAACAAAGCTGATAACCTGGAGTTACTTCCTGCTAGTTTCTCTCCCAATCTTTTCTTTTAAGTTTTTTTTCTTTTTTCTTGGCATATGGAGCTCCTAATCATGTTTGAAACTGTTATGGATAGACATTGAATCCTTTCACAGCCTTTAGAGGGTTCATTCTCCTTTAACTTCCGAATTTCACAGAGGGCCTAGTTGGTTAGCATTCTTTTTTAGCGTCATTAAAATCTCATTTTAAAATGATCATTTAGTTTCAGTTTAAGTATCAATATTGTGATTGTGAAAATACATTTATTTGAATAAAATCTCTGCACAAAGATGGCTCCCTGATCATAGAAATGTCCTGGAGACCAAACTTTGTAATTATTCAACTTGACCAGGCTAGACAGCTAACCAGCGAGGGGAAAACTTTTACTATTGCCTAAAGAAAAAAGCTACATTCTAATAGGAAGGAAGAAAATAGGCCTATTTTCAGAACCAATAAGAGAAACTTAAAAAAATATATATATTTCCTCTAGAGGCATGTTGGCTGTTTATTCAGTCTGACACAACGAGGAAGGAAGGAAGGAAGGAAGGAAGGAAGGAAGGAAGGAAGGAAGATTCAAAAAGGAAAGAAGACACAATGAAGAAAGGACCCACCAGACAAGATTAAGATTAAAGTTTTTAATCCTACATTTTAATAAAAATGTTTACATTCACCCAACCCTGGAAAATATTAAATATAAGCTTCATGCTTTTCAGACAGCACAGGAGCCCTGCATCAGCCATCTAATTCAAGGAATATTTGTCCCTTCCTCTTACACTACGCATAATTTCTCACAAACAGCAACTAAAGCCCTGATCTAGACCATAAACTGATATTTGCATAAACTACAGTATAGGAACAACATTCCGCAGGCCAAGGTACCATGGTAAATGACTGACCATGACCCTAAGATCAAAGTAAATTCCTCCTAATGACAGGGTGATGAGGCAGTCACGGGCTCAGCTGTCAGGCGGCCATGCTGGGTTTACACATAAACAGCCCTCTGACCCCCTAATACACTGGGGTACCTGCACACTAAACCAGCTGCTTCCTGATATGTTTGTGTATTAAGCTGGAAGAGATGGAGGGCAGTGGAGGAGGGAAGAGTGGGCAGGGGGGGTCTGTTGAGGCATCAAGCGCCCTGCCACCCACACACTATTCAAAAATCAGGCGCTTTTCCACTACTAAATGTGAGAGCCAGGCACAAAAATATGATAAAAAAAAACACAAAACACACAGCCCACATAAACTGCCTGCAACCATAACACGCCTTTAAAACGCACAAGTGTTGCCGGCCCACAAGTGCTGGGTTCTCTCAATCTGAAAATATAGGACTGGTGTGGGAGCTGAGTGTGCTTGTGCAGGCAATGAGGTGGATGAAAATATTATAAACAAAGGGAGGAAAAAAAAAAGGAAACAGGAAATGAAGACTAAGGTAGCTGAGAGAGATTAAAGAAGGATGGAGATTAGAATAAAAACAAAAGATGTAATGATGCAACAAAGTGGGCAAATGCATAAAAAAAGGAGAAGAAGGGAGCAAAGTGAAAACAAAGAGCATGCAGGGTCTGGTACTCACCTTGCAGCCTCCAGCAGCTCATCCTTCTTGTATTCACCTAAATGGTTACAGAAGATCATGGTGTCAGACAGTTTCCCGCTAATGCACATCAGCCACACAGAGACACACATGATCAGCCAAACACAACAAACATGTACAAAGGCACACGCTATCTACAGGAGGACACCATCTTTCCTATTTCTATTTAACCCCCCCCCTCTGAATCACTGCCTCTGCCATTCTCTCTCAGTGCGCACCCCTCTGGCTACGGTGTGTTGCCGGCAGCGACCACAGCACATTCATTGTTTGGGCGATGAGCGGCGGACCGGCACACGCGCTGCCTCTGTGTCTCCGTGTGTCTGTCCGTCCCTCCCTTCTCCAACGCGTCGCTTTCGGGAGTCTCTGCTGCTGCTGATGCTGCGTCCCATTGTCCCCTGCTCTCAGTCATCTGTCTCCGTCTCCCTACATCCGACTACCTTTGTGTGTTTTCCTCTTTTTTTTTTTTTTCTCCAGTGGACTCTGGGGGCGCAGTTATCATTTTAGAAAAAAGGAAATAAACAAACCCCTCCCCCTATCTCCCTCCTCCTGGCTCCCTCTCCAGCTCTTTGCTTCCCTGCTGCTACAGTCACAACAATTACACCTTCCCATATGCGTCTCTTCTGCAAGGGACATGGGGGGGGCAGCCTTTCCAGGAATCATCGCCACATTTTGCATAATCCAATCAGCTTGAATACTATGGAGTTTGGTTGAACTCTGTTATTTCACTTGGATGGAGAGGAAAAGGTCTTTTTCTGATGATAATTTAATTCATTGTTTTTTTTGTTTGTTTTTTAAGTTAACACAGGATAACTAAAACAGAATGATGAAAACAATCTGTTTAATCTGGAAACGGATCTATTTCTTGAATTAAAAAAAATGACTGACAAAATAATGGAAAAGAATGTATAAAATAAAAAACCAAGACAACATTTCGCTCGTAGACTGCTGGAGATATGCACCAGCCCCACCGCAACCCTGATGCATTTATTTCCATGGTTTATCAAAGAAATGTCAAGGTCTGTACAACCTACCTCCATGTTAAGCAATAATAGTCTTTATAATACCATTTCGGTTAGTCAAGTTATCGAAAATGAATAGATTATGCAACTATAAAAATACATGCTTGCAGTAAGCCTCTCTCAATATAAATATATATATATATATATATATATAATATATATATATAAAAAAAAACAATTTCTGAAGAATAAACAAGTCGGACACAATCATGAAGTGGAACGAAATTCAATGGACTTTTTAAACTTTCTTAAATAAAAACCTGAATAATTGAGTGAGCAATATTAGTTCAGTTCCTTCTACCGATTCTCGATTAGATTTAGGTCTGGACTTTGACTTGGCCATTCTAACACCTGGATATCTTTATCTGTGAACCATTCCACTCTAGATTTTGCTTTATGTTTTCGACCATCGTCTTGTCGGAAGA